GGAGTTAATTTAAGCTTTGAACTGAGAGAGTTGGACTGGTCAAAATTCCCAGGAAGTCACTGAGGAAAGAAAGGAAAAATAAAGGGATGGAGACAAGCCCAAAAGATATGTGTAACAAGGCTTAAGGCGTGGTGGCTTCAGGAAGGTTAGAGAACTACAGATCCCCAGGAGATAGAAGAGGTGATGGATCCAGAGACCACAAGCTGGAGACCAGAGGCTTTGCAAGATATGAATCCAGAGGGGCAGAGGATGAGAGTGGAGTGTGGAATTAGGGCAGCAGGGAGATGATGCAGAGCATGTTTTACACACAAGGAGACAGTGGAACATGGGTGTGTGCACAGCTGGCATTCTAAGAACAGCTTATTCAGCATTTATTCACTCTGAAGGAGTGGCTTGGGCTCCTGCCACTCAGTCCTGCCTGTCATTGAGGTAAAAAATAGCACTGTGGCTTTTAACCACAGATCATTGAGAAGTGAGCACTCTCTTCATGTTCACCCACGAGGTAATTCTCTACCACAGAAGGTAATTCTGACAGCTGCAGGAGATTCTCCAGGCTGGCAAAAAAACCCTGAGAAATGCTGTAAACATAGCTGTGAATCATCTGATCCTCCAGAACTACTGTTATTAATCCCAGATGCTTGTAACTGAGACACTCACCTTCACCTTCACTGGTCAGTTTGACTAAGAAGCCTCCAGACAATTCCTAAAATGAAAGTTTAACAAGATAGGAATTTCTTGAAGCCTAAAGGCAGAAATACCCTCCAAACTGAATCACTGGAAAATTACTTTAAAATATTGCCATGATGAAGGGAGAAAACTACAAGCATTTTAAGGAAAAAGCATGACATTTTACAAAAGGGCTCTCATGGGACTGACTTGAAAAGTCACAGTTGGATCCTGTTGTGCTGCCTCCTGCCTGCTGCTACCCCAAATAATCTTTGATTACCTTTTATTACTCACTGATTATAGAATCATGGAATGGTTTGGATTGGAATAGACTTTTTATCTATTTCCAAAACCTCTGCCATGAGCAGGGATACTTTCCACTATCCCAAGTTTCTCCAAGCCCCATCCAGCCTGGCCTTGGACACTGCCAGGGAAAGGACAGCCACAGCTTCTCTGGGCAACCTGTGCCAGGGCCTTACCACCCCACAAGTATAGAACTTTTTCCTAATATCTGCTCTAAGTATTTTCTCTTTTAGCTCAAAACTGTTCACACTTGTCCTGTCACTATCTGCTCATGTAAAAAGTCACTCACCCTCTTTTTTTATAAGCTCCCTTCAGGCACTGCAAGGCCACAATGAAGTCACCCCAAAGCCTTCTCTTCCCCAGGCTGAACAATCCCAATTGTTCCCTCAGCCTTTCCTCCCAGCAGAGCTGTTCCATCCCTCTGATGCCCTTGGTGTCCCTGCTCTGGCCTGGCTGCAGCAGCTCCCTGTCCTTCCTGTGCAGGGCCCAGGGCTGGATGCAGCCCTGCAGGGGGGGCTCAGCAGAGCCGGGCAGAGGGGCAGAATCTCCCTCCCCTGCTGCCCTGGGGCTCTGGGTGCAGCCAGGGGGGTTTTGAGTTGGAGCATGTCCAGCTCTCACCCACAGCACCCATTCCCAGCCTGGATTGATCCCAGGGGTTGTCCTGACCCTGGTGCAGCACCAGCACTTGGCCTGGTTAAACCCCATGAGATTCCCATGGACTACTTCCCAAGAAAGAACAGAATTTCTCTACAGAGAATATGTGACTCACCACAGAGCAGACATAACATTTAGCACCTTGAAACATCACTCACCATTTGAAGCCTTTGCAGTCACAAAACCAAAACAGTTCCAGAAAGTCCAGTGTGTGCTAAAAAGGAACCCAATCTGCCAGTGATTGCTGCGAGCTCTGTAGCACTCTCAGTGCCTTTAAGGTGTTCTTTGTGTGTCCTGAACCCTGCTTGCTGTTCTGACACCAAATCTGCATTGGCAGTGCATCCTCCCTGAACTGCCCATTTGGCAGTGAGGTCCTTTTCTTGCATTTGTCATTTAGAACCAGATAAAATTGTTCGCATGTGCAATACTGCATGAATTAATTTTGTTTACATAAAATATCACTCATCTTTGAAATGTCTATTCATGCTTGTCTCTGCTTAGTTTACTTCTATGCACCAGTTCCTGGGCTTTTTAATGGTTTGGGGTGATTTCTTTTAAGAACCTTGCCTTCATTCACTGTTTTATCCCAAAATAAAATCAAAATCCCTTGGTTGAGGTTTCTACCAAGATATTCCGAGTATTTTTTTCCACCAAGTGTATCCTGAATACCACAGCTTGAGATACTGGTGGGATACAGGTCCATAGAAATAGGACTAGCCCAGAGGATCAGCTCTTGGAGGTGTCCCTGTCACAGGTTCTCCTCAATAAGGTTACTAATGGAGCCAGTCCTGTCCATGATGTGCCCCTCTGGGGCTGGTGCTGCCAGCCTGGCCTGTCCCAGGGAATGTCACCCATTGCCCAGCTGCAGCAAGAATTAAACCAGCCTGGCATTCTCTGAGGCACTGAGCACGGAAGCAGTGGGAGGTCAGGTTGGGATTGTTTAGGGATTGCCTGGCCTTGGCATCAGGATTAGACCCTGACCACACCAGAGTGAGGAGGAAATGTTTCACCATTCTCTTGCAGTAGCGATGTCAGAGGTAATCCAAGAAACACACACTGTAAAGGGAAAGTTTATTGTAAAACTTAGATCACAGGATCAGAGAACTGTGAACAAGAACAACACAAGAGGCAGAGGAAACAAAGCACTTTCAGTTGAACTTCTGCCCTTGGGGATTTCCTTGCAAGCCGTAGTTGCTCCTGAGTCCTGAGTCTTCCTGTGGCTTTTTGGGTTTGATGGGGTTTGTGCAGTTCTGCAGTGGCCCCAGGGTGGCTTCCCCTTCCCACCCCTCTGGTGCACAGCCCCTGCCTCTGCTGCCTGCTGAAAGCTCCAGCTGAGGGCCAGTGGATCCCAGGGAAGAGGCTTTTCCCTGGCCCTTCAGGAGAGCCCACTTGATCCAAGGGGGTACATTCCAGCAGCTGGAATATGAAAATAGAAGGGCAGAAATCTATAACACAATGTAGAATGCTCTCCCACCCTCTCCAGTAAAGTGAATACAAGCAAAGAGCTCCTCCAGCTCAGCTTTCTTTTGGAATAACAGTGCAGATCCTGGGGTCTGAGACTGAGATTGTTCTGCTACAGCTCTGTGTTCTAACTCTGTTCTTTGTGGATTGAAAGTCAGGTAAAGAACTGCAAATGTTTCCAAAGCATCTTGATGAGAGCAGTTTGTGAGTACGGCTGGTGTGAGGGATGTCAAAATGTGCTTTCTATTTAGAAAGAGACAGTTTCACCTGCAGGATTCAATTTTCCCTTGCAATGGCCACAACATGTTGTGTATAGATTTTTTGACTGAGCAATTTTTTTCTCAGTGACAAACCAGGCCATCAGTGTCACTTCCTCAAGGACTTCACAGAGCTTTTTCCATCCTGCAGCTGAAGGAGAGAGCCATGAAAGGCACCAATAAAGGAGGAATGATATTGCCTGAAAGGACGCAGTAAGAAGGATAATTCTTGGAGTCAGACAGGGTCCCAAGAGCCACTGAAGCACATGGGCAGAGCTCTGGTGGCATTCCCTGTTTACTCATCACAGCTCTGTTTTCCTGTGTCGTGGTTTTAAACCAATAACTAAGAAAATTACTTATTTCTTGCTGTGAGATATGGATTAGAACAAGAGCAAAACAGGCATAAAACTTAAAAGGGAAAAAAAAGAAAGTTTATTGACAAACTACAATAAGAACACCAGAATAAACTTCCAGAAAAACCTTTTCATCCCCTGTCTACCCACTATTCCCTTGTTCACATGACAAAAGAGACAAAACCTTTGGAACTTTGATGGTTAAAACAGTCCCAATTCTTGCTACAGTCTTTTCACCAGTCTTTATAGAGAAACAGAAGTTTCTTCCTGTTAATTTATGGAGTTTCTCACAAGAAAAACTATTTTTGTTATAGTTTTCCATTGCTCTAATGTTAGCTGCCCAGAGCTGCTGTTATTAGAGCCCACTCCTCCCATTTTCACATCACTCTGAAGTGTGTATGGGCCATGAGTCTAGGGATGGGATTTTTAAGGATAAGTTATTCAAAGGCAAAAAGTCTTCTTCATCTGTTTCTGTGAGCTTCACTAGAAAACAGTTTTCTCATTGCCTCTCAAGGCTTCAAATCTTCCAGCACTTCACTGTACCATAATTACTCTACTTTTTTACTCAAAATTTACACTTTGAACACTCTATTCCTCCCTATTTACTGTCATGAATTAAAGGAGTGTTTTCAAGACCTTATTGTCCATTTCCATAGTTTTAACAGAAAGATATTTCAGCTTAATTAAAGCATCTTCTTAATTCTCTACCTTTTCTGAAGCTTCTTTTCTTTCCTGTCACTAGTAGTTTATAAAGTCTCTTTTCATGTTGATCACTCTCTTTTCTCTGTCTGGATAAAAAGATTAATCCGCAAGTCTCATCTGGGTAATGAAAGAGTTAAAATCTTGCCCAGGCTGTTGTAGGTAGTTCTGTGGCCTCGGCCGGTGCAGGAGCTGGAGCCGTCTGCGATGGAAAGTTCCTCATGGCTGCTCTGGAGAGTGTAGGCGCCACACCCAGCCCGCTGCAGGCCCAGAGCCCCTCTCCTTCTTCACTCAGCAGTCTCCAGTGAATCCAGCCACAGCAAAAAAACCTGCAGCCGAGCCAGAGATCGGCTCGGCTCGGCCCGGCCGGAGAAAACCCCCTCCACAGGACCCGCATCTCCCGGCCGGGAGACGCTGGGCCCAGCCCAGTCCCCGCCCGGCCGCATGGCCTGGGCAGGGAACGGGAGGCCTGGAGCTCTGCCACCCTTCCCAGCCAGGAAACAAAGAGAACCAAGAGAGCTCTGGTTTTACACTTTAAGGTAGGGTTCACAAGTTGATCCCACTTTTCAATGGCCTAAACTGCTGTCAATTCTCAGCAATGACCGATAATTGGTCAGGAGAAAAGACGCCAGGCAGATCCCAGCAACTTAAACTTTCTTAAAGGTAAAGTAACTCCATGACATCCTGGTACCACCTGTTTCTGTGTTGGCTTGAACTTTTCTGAGCAGGAAAAGCCCTCAGGCATCATTTCCACCTGTGATCAATCCCCAAGGAAAAGAGGGCAGAGCATGGTGTTGCCACTCCCTGCAGGTCACTCTCATACTTCTCACCAGCTCCTTCACAGGTCACTGTGGGTTTCATTGTTCTGTTTTTTGCCCAGTTCAGCCTCTGTTGGGACCCTGTTCTTCAGGCCTTGCTGGTCTCTGCTGGCCTCCTTCCTGTGCCCTTCCTCAGCAGATCCTAAATCTGACACTCCTTCCCTTCCTTACACAGGAATGGGGCTGATTTTATGCCCAGAGCTGTGCTGCTGTAGGATCCTTTCCCTTGTGCTGATTCCCATTTGCCTCACAGGCTCTGGGATGCCATGGAACAGACAGTCTGGGACAAGGGAAGGTTTATCCACACCCACACCTGACTTTATTCTGTCCATCCTGGCCATGGGACCTGGCAAGGAGAGGGGTTGCCCTTCCCTGTCGGATCCCAGCCAAAAATCTGTGCTGCCCTTCGCCTGTGGCTGGAGGCAAGACCAGGCTGTGGCCAGGTGGGGAAGGGTCTCCTTGTGCCCAGGCAGGGCTGTGGATGGATGTGACTTGCAAAGTCAGGATCTGTTTGGGATCACCCCTGTCCCCAGCCTGGACTCCTTTCCTCTGGCAGTGTCTGCCTGGAAGTGCCACCTCTGGCACCAGACAGTCCCAGACCCCTCCTGTGCTCCAGTGCCAGCTCTTCCAGAGGGGATCCATCCAAGCTCAGACACCATCAAAGAAAAAAGGGTGGGCTGAGCTCAGCCACGAGTCTCAAGGGAGGCTGCAGGAGTCCCTGGGAGAAGAGATTGGGTAGCTAAAGAGAAATGAGTCACATCCCATCCACATTTCCTACAGGAAGCTGGGGATAACATAGCCTGGACCTCTTGTTTTTAGCTCTCTTTCTGATGTCTTTTTAAAATTGTCGCATCTTTTTCACACATATTTCGTGTTGTTTGGGATCCACCACAAGGTGCAGTTCCTACTTCACCAAATCCAATGGTTGTGCATTCATAGTCGCTAAAATGTCTGGTTATATTGAACCTAAACAGGGGGAAAAAGTCAAATTTGATTACATTCCTGACATGCAGAGAAAGGCAGAGTGGCACCTGGCCTGGCTGCTAAGCTGTGTTACTGTCACTGGGATCAGGAACTGCCTTGCTGGAATCTCCCTCCTATTCCTCATTTTTGTTCCCCACATCTCCACAAGAATTTCTGGGCAGTGCTTTCCCATCCAGACCTTCCCCTGCTTTGGTCCCCTCCAACCAATGGTGCTGACATCACCCTCTCTCTTGTCCCTGCCTCCTGTCTCCTTCCTTCCCCCAGGAAACTGCATCCAGTCAGATTCTTCCTTTGCCAGAAGAAATACAGCTGTGTCCCCTCCTGCCACCCTGATGGGACAGGCCTGTGCTCCCTGGCACTGAAAGGCTCCCTTCCCTTGGCACAGGCATGTGCTGAAGCATCTGGATCTCAAGGAATCAGGTTCCCCTCAGCTACAGTTCCTGATCTCCCTTGCACTCCCTGCCCTTTGCTCTGGCTTTGGGATTTTCCTGTTCCCAGACATTGCATGGCAGGGACTTGCTGGATTGAACTCACATGGCTGGGTCATGTTTCATGTCGTTGATCCACTTCCACTCCTTCTTCTTTTCAAAGTATTTGAGACCAAGTAAGTAGTAGTCATATTTTGATACTGAGAGAAGGTAACTCTGGAAAGGAAGCCAACAATGGGAACACATGAAAATGACATTTTCTTCACCAGAGGCACAAGTCTCAGTGTTAAATAGCCAGCACAGAGAGTGCAGTATGCCTCCAGCCACAGCACCTCTTCCCACAGCTCCAGAGGATGAGTTTCTCCATTTTGGAGGCCCCTTATGAATATAACAAATGCAATAATACACCTGTGGTGCTATTATAGGTGTAGTTTGAAGTTTAATAGCCGTGACTTGATACCTGGGGACACTTTTCCCTTCTGCTGGGGGTGGCAAAGCCTTTTCAGGTTTTGTCACAGCCATGGATCTCATAAAGTGTCTGTTCAATCTCCATGGCCTGTGTGCTAAATCCCTGTAAAACCCCAGCCAGCTGGGCAGGGAGTTTGCTTCTTACCAGGGCATCAGGCCTGGGCACAGAAGCTTCCAGGGGCAGGACTCCAAGCCCCAGGAGACCTCTCCCTGTGCAGAGCTTTGCTCCCACTGCCTGGGCTGGGGTGTCCATGGCTGGCAGCACGTCCCAGAGCCCAAGGACATGTGACAGGAGCTGGCACAAATGTCACTGCTCAGCCCTTGGCCAGGCAGCTCCCGCCTCTGAGCAGCTGCCCCAGGAGTTGGAACTCACCATCTCTTCCCTGCTGTCAATGACCACCAGGTCTGACTCCATGGTAATGCATTCTCCACGGGAGGCTTCCCAGTCCTTCTCTTTATTCTCTGAAGAAAAGAAGTAGCATTTTCTCCAATGTTTTCTCCATAGTGGGGGGCACCCTGCAGAAGGGAAGAAGAGGTGTGGAAAATCCATGCTCATGCTGACCAAAGGATGCCACGATGAAAGAGAGGTCAGAGAGGAAATTCCAGCCACAGAAATCCCCATGTGCTCCTGCTGGGAATTGTCAATTGTCATCACGGATCCCCCACAGCCTCTGGAGCTGATATCAGCCCAGAATCACCAGGCAAGAGCCAGACATGGAGCAGCACGGCAAACATTATCCAGCCTTTCCCATCTTTGATCAGGACATACAGAGAAATGCTCAGGGCACAGAAGCAGCTCTCAGATTCCTGAAGTCTGTTTTGCCTGATGCAGAATTGGGCAGCAGAGGTGCTACTGAAAGCACCAACATTTGTGTGCATTGCCAGGCAGGGCAGTGGGAGGATCTGGGGGGGGAGCTGGGATTCAGGGAGACAGGGCCTGCAGGAGACACTTTGATTGGGGATCCAGCAGCTCCTAAAGAGCAGCATGGAATTACACTGAGGTCAAAGGCTGGCAATGGAGGGGCCTTGAGAAAGCAACAGAAGCACATTGTCCATCCTGCTCCCTGCAGGGCTGGGGTACCAGAGGGATTGTTCCTCCTGTCCCTTCCCTGCCTCAGACTGCTCTGCTCTGGCAGCAGAGAGGCATCAGTTCTTTCCTGTGGAACAGGAATCCAGAACTGGCTCAGCACTGGTTCCAAAGGAGGTGCAAATGCAAACCCTCCATGGGCTCCAAAGCTCATCCTGGGAGTGTTCAGGGTAAGGTTTGTATCCCTGACATGGCAGAGGGGTTGTTTTCCTTCTGAACAAAATGCTGACACAGCCCCCTTTCTGTCCTCCTTAGCATTCAATCCAACAGGCTTCTGGCAACTCCCTTTGGAATGACAGAAGATTGCCTACCTAATTCCTCTTCGGGGATGTGGGACAAGGTTGTTGAGCTGTTTTGGCTGCTTGCAGTTGGACCATCTGGAAGTAAGAACACAGTTTCTGCTTGCAAGGAATGACCACTGTCAGAGCTCTGCTGGAGCTCTCTGACTCCCCCCATCACCCAACACAGAATTCAGATTCTGTCTCTTTGCTCATGATTCTACTATAAAAGATCATTAAATGGTCAGGTCAGGTTCCACTAAGCAAAAGGCAACACTTTAGTTCATTTAAATAACTTATATCTTAATAACAGTGTAGCTGGCATAACCCTACAAGACCCTATGGAAAATAAATAAAAGACTAAAACTTAGAATAAACTCAAAATGCAACAGTTTTTATTTGGAGCACAAGTGAAACATCTGTGCTCTTGAACTTATAAACTACTTTGATTTCATTTCTTGAGTTTGATCTAGATCTCAAGTTTCTTAGGAGTATTTTTTCAGGTCTGTAGCTGTTCTGAGCCAGTACTGAGCCTCACAAAGGAACTATAACTAAAGCCAGTGCTGGATCTAAGTCTAAGGACTCCTCTTTCCATGTTAGACTTAAAGCTGCATTAAATGCAAATTACACTTTTTTATTTTCTGTTGGTTTATTATTTGTTTTTAATTTGCCTCACCCTTTGCTGTTTGACATTTTATAAATATCAGGGCACTGTCACATATCAATCCTGAACTCTTTGCCTTGAAAAACAAGAATAAATTGCCTCCCCTAGCCCTATTTTTTAAGTTCCAAGGATCAAAGGCTTTGCCATGTCTTCCCCATGTGCATCTCTGAGCTAGTGGCAAACTCTGGGACTTGAGAGCGATTGGTTGTGGAAGCTTCTCAAGCTTTCTCAGCTGTGAAAGGATGGAATGAAACAAGCAAAACCATCTGAAATTTAAAAATGGTTCTTTGAAAACAAGGAAATACCAAATGGATCTATTAATTTTTTTTCTGATGTAAGTAAGATTTTTTTTTTGGTCCAAAATATTATTTATCTTTTTATGTAGCTCAAAATATGTTATGATCTTAAGCAAACTCCTTTAAGATGTGGTTTATTTGCCTCCTTCAAATGAACTTTAATTCATAATTATTTTAAGATTTTTTGTTTTATGGACATCTTGGTCTCATGATACAACCTCACCACCTTGTGGGATTCTCACAGTTAGCAATGATATTACTGGTAAGCATTATCAAATCTTAACTTGTTTCTTCAAAACATTTCTATAATAAATTCTTTGTCATTTGAGTGTTATCAGTTTTTCATTTGGATTTTGGCTTTTCCATCTGTTGGAATTTTAATCTTTCAAACCACCTGACTCTTACAGATTTCCTTTCACATGGTTGGCAAAAAACTGCTGTCCTTTGCCTTCAAAGCAAACTTCTATTCCCACTGGATTTATATGTCATGGCCTGAACATCAGTCAGTGGGAGAGAGACACAAATTAATTGCTGTTATGACTAACAAAAGAACTTACATGCGATTATTAAATATACTGCCAGGACCAGTATGAGGATTATCACCACCAATATAGCAACATGTTTTCTGGAACAATAGCTTTTACCTACAGAGAGAAATAAAGATTAGGGGACCAGCTGGACAGAAGCAACTTTCCCCTGCATTCCAAGGTGCCCTTTTCAGGCCCACACTGGGAATCTGGGGCCTTCCAGATCTGCAAGCTGGAGCCAGGCTGAATGTCCCAGTGCTTCCCCACTAGCTCTGGTCACCTGTGCTCAGGGAACTGAATAGATCCCAACTTGCAGTGGGTTTGAGGAGAGGTGAAAAGGAGGAGAGTCCTAGCAATCAGTGGTCACCCTCTGCTTCCTCATCTCCTTTATTCACTTTTCACTGCTGCTGGGGGCAGGAGCCGGGGCTCGGGGGTGGCTGTGTATGGCCCATCTTACCCTTCTATTCCTTTGCCAGGGAAAGCCAACAAGTGTTTAGGGGCACAGAATGCAACGCCTCAGCTGCCCCTGCTCTGAGTGTGGAAAGCAGATAATTGTGTCCTCATGGTTTTGTGTCACTGCATGTTTGGGGCATCAGAACCAGCCCCTCTCCCCTTCTTGTTTAAATTCCCATCACTTTATCAGACAGTTAAACTCACCAGATGATTTGCAGTCTGCTGCAGCATTTGTGTCTTGGGATTTTACTTTAACTTCTGCGTAGGTACAATCTGAGTCTGGGAATAAGAACAGAGCACAGAGAGAGCTGTGAATCAACTTAAATTAAACAAAAATGACTGAAATTGTGAGAAATGCTGAACACAGGACAGCAACTGGTTGATGTGACTGTGGCTAACTATGCACAAATTATATTTTTCTCCATTATAGGCACTGATCTGTGCTGATGCTCTGTGCTGGCCAGGGACAGGACCCAAGGGATACAGCTGGAGCTGTATCAGGACAGGGTCAGGTTGGATATCAGGGAAAGGTTCTTCCCCCAGAGGGTGCTGGGGCACTGAACAGGCTCCCAGGAAATGGTCACAGCCCCAAGGCTGCCAGAGCTCCAGGAGAGTTTGGACAGAGCTCTCAGAAATGCACAGGGTGGGATTGTTGGGGTGTCTGTGCAGGGCCAGGAGTTGGACTGGATGATCCTTGTGGATCCCTTCCAGCTCAGGATATTGTGAGTCCATGTTCCATGATGACACTTTCACCCTTGGAGCACTTGCTATGGGCAGGAACAGATCTGGTTTCTCTTCAAGGCAGACAATATCAGAGGGGACAGGGGCACACACCCACATGGTCAACCTTGACAAAAGGGGAGGAAAGTGCCAAAGGTGGCCTAAGGTTGTTCATCCAGACAGGAATGGTGAGAATGACTAAAACATCAAAGCCTGAAAACTGCAGATTGTGCTAAATTTGGAGGGGCTTGAGATCTTATCAAAATTAACAAGATAACATGGAGAATAGTGAAATCTTTTCTATCATCTGCAGGTAATAAATACAAACCAGCAGGAAAGAAAACATATGGAGAGGAAAGAAAGATCAGAGGGAGATAAAAAGTGGGTAGAAAGTAAAAAAAAATAGATGTTGCAATGTTATGAAGCTCTCAAAGTCATCGTGATACACAACACTGAGCCTCCTGGGTTTTATCACTGTACAGAGCTAAGACAGAAGCCAGGGTTTTGAGCTCTTTCCAGAAGATGGAGACAATATCTGGGAAATCTTGTACATAAACTCAGTGAAGAAGTTCTTCTTTAAACAGAAGAGCTGGTAGGGATTTCCCCAAAAGGCACAAGCAGAAAAACATAAAAATGTTACTAGAAATCTATCAAAATTTTGAATAGGACCACATGGGTTAAATTATAAAGAAAATGGAACTTGTAATGAGGTGGCATCTATTGTGGGCAATTGAACCCTGAATTAATGTGTTGAAAGGGGTAGTAAAACCCTGTTTCCTGGGGTGTTAACTCCACCCATCTGAAAATAGATGCAGAGGGTCCACCCTTTGTGCAAAAGACAAACACTGGATGTCAAGAAATAATTTCTGTCAGAGTGAAAGGAGGGTTAGAAAGGAAGGAAAGAAAAAAGAAAATTAAATACAGAGACAAACTGTATGAAGTCATATTTTTTAGGATGTACTTTTATGCAGATGTTGCAAAAAAGATGTTAAATTTTACATAAAATTTATGTAAAAATTTTAAACTCATTAAAGATAAATCATAGGTTAGAGTTTTTCAGTCTTTGATCCTAAATCAGACTAAACCTGTCCATGAAACATTTACAGTTGTGCATTAAACAAGCAGTTTGTACAGCCAGAGCAGGAAGAGAAGCCCCCAGGCAATGCCTGCTGTGCTCAGGGAGCAGGAACAGCTGTGCAGGAGACTGCTGCAAACACCAGCAACAGCAGCCACTCCATCCTGAGCAGTTTGCTGCAGGAATCCCTGTCTGCTGGGGGACAACAAGCCTAGGGCAGGAATAGTGGATGTTCAGCTCTGGAATGGTCTTCCAAATGGATAAAAAACTACTCTGAATATCACACCAGAGATGCTCCCTCACACTTGCACCTTAGCAAGAGAAAAGTAGATCTTTTAACAACTGGCCTTTGTAAATATAAACAATCCTCCCTGGACACTCCATCTGCAGTTTTCCAGCACTTGCCCTCATGTTTTCCTTGTGCTCTTTGAGACTTTGGTACTCCAAGGAACTCTCTCAATATATGCAGGAGAGAGACTGGAGAATGCAAAAAAAAGCTGAGTGCTCAGCACTGGACCTACCTTGGACATCAGGGACCGTCAGGGTTCTGGGTCTGGTTGATTGAGGCAAGTTCAAGTCAGCATAGAGGACATTTTCTGCCATTCTTGTTCCTACTTCTCCTTTTTCCCTCCCTCAGCTGTTCTGAGAGTGATCCTCTAGGCTGGGTACAACTCAGAGATCCCTCCCCTTTTTAAACTTCAGGAGGAAGTTCTTGACTCTTCCAGTCATGCATAAACTTCTGATGAAAAGTCTATTTCTGCTTAATCTTTTGATGGCACAGGGTTCTATGTCAGTAACATGAGGAAATATAAGTTTATGGCTGCTCTGAGGTCACCTGTGCTGGGAAGTGGTTCTGGCATTGAAGTGTCTTAAGTTCCTGAAGCTTCATACACCCACACGCAAAACACTTTGCCCTGCTGTGTCCTGAGCACTGTGGGCTCTGTGCAGCTCACAGACTGCTTCTCTACAAGGGAATCCTGGGGGCAAATGGAGATTCAGAAAGGGGGATTGGTCCAGCCTGTTTTGGGAAGCGCAAAAGGTACTTAATATGCAAAGGCAGCAGCTGGAATAGTGCAGCCTAAACAAAACAATTCCTTGGCTTTCCAGGTTTGTTGTATGCCTCTGGGCAGTTGGGGTCAGCTGTGTCCCCTCTCAACTCCTTGTGCACCCTCAGCCCCCTCAGTGGTGGGGTGGGATGACAAACTGAGGACTCCTACTCTGTTTAATCTCTTCTCAGCAATCCCCGTTCTCAACACTGTTCCAGCACAAATCCAAAACGTAGCCCATACCAGTTGCTGTGAAGGAAATTAACTCTATCCCAGCCAGAACCAGCCCAGGGCCCTAGAATTTAAGAAGGGTGTGAAGGTCCTTGAATGGAGGATCAGAGGAAGAGAACAAAGTTGGTGGAAGGGTTGGAAGGAATGTCCTGTGCAGAGCAGCTGAGGATTTCATGTTTTTTCCAGTCTGGAGAAAAGGAGGCTGAGGGGTGGCCTCTTTTCTCTCTGGAGTCCCAGCACAGGAAGGACATGGAGCTGTTGGAGAGAGTCCACATGACTCAACAAAGTTGAGTTGAGTTGAGTTGAGAAGCTGGAGCACCTCTGCCATGATGAAAGTCAGAGAATTTTTCAACCTGGACAAGAGAAGCTTTGGGGTGACCTCATTGTGGCCTTCCAGTGACTGAAGAAAGATGCTTCTAGTGCTATAAGAAAGAAGGAGAGAGACTCTTGACAAGGGTCTGGGGTGACCAGCAAGAGGCAATGGCTTCACAGTGACAGAGAGGAGGTTTAAATTGGATATTAGGAAGAAATTCCTCCCTGTGAGGGTGCTGAGGCCCTGGCACAGGTTGCCCAGAGAGGCTGTAGGTGCCCCATCCCTGGAAGTGTCCAAGGTCAGGTTGGAGAGGGCTCTGAGCAACCTGGGGTAGTGGAAGGTGTCCCTGCCCATGGCAGGAAAGGAGGAATGAGAGCATCTTAAGGTCCCTTCCAACCCCAACCATTCCATAATTCTATGATTACTGTATTTCTGTCTTTACAGAACTATAAGACATTGCTTTTCTGATTTAGAACAAACTATAGGAAAAAGTTGAGTGATTATTGTTAATAAAATAAATATCAATTCTGATTGAACCTTTTTCTTCTACAGAAAGACAATTTTCTATTACGGAAGTATTCTCTCAGAGCCATCAGATGTGGAACACCCTCTGCTGCCAGTGGTAATGGCAGAGGTTTCTTCAAAGGGCCAGGGATGTGTTCTGGTATTCTGTGCCTCATGTCCCATAATCAGAGGCCCAGAAAAGCCAAGCAATCACCAGCTGTGTGAGAGAAAGAGGAGGAAGTGAAGCAGTTTCTGTGGTAGTTGATGACTCAGAAGTTTGTACTGCGGTCAAATGAAGGTTTGCAGTGGCCCTCAGACCTGACAGGGAGACGTGTCCAGAAATTCTGTGACAGGCAGATGAAGTACTGGGGCCTGAACAACAGACCCTGACTGAGACAAACAGTCTCAGAACAACAGACATTGAGCCAAAGTTGCCTCTAAATGAACCTTCCAGCCAAATGTTATTTATATGTGGATATAGACATAGATATGGATATAGATATAGCAATAGAGATAGATATATTAAATTATGAATGAAGTATTGTTGTATGTGTTTGTTTATTGGCAAAACAAGTGTTTACTTTGCATATCCAGAAACCGGATAAGGCCACAACTGGCCTAATTAGAGGGGTACACAATCAAAGACACCTCCCTTGGTTCACCCTTGAGCCCTGGCCAGGCTTTGAGAGAAATCTAACAGAAGAATGAAACTAGAAATTACGTCAGCTTGTTTGTTTAAGAGTATAAAAGCTGGGCTACTGTCACAACAAAGTCAGTTGGAAGCCGTTCCACATCTCCAGAAAGGTGGAATGGGTTGGAAAGAATCTTAAAGATCATCTTGTTCCAACCCCCTGCCATGGGTAGGGACACCTTCCACTATCTCAGTTTGCTCAGAGCCACATCCAACCTGGCCTTGGACACTTCCAGGCATGAGGAATCCACAGCTTCTCTGGGCAATCCAAAGTATTCTGTGATTTTTCAGCTCCACCAAGCCTTAATTCATTTTTCATTCAGAATTTTTTTTCTATTAGGGAATTGCATTACTAATTTGCCAATTGTAACACAGAGTGTAGGAAACATCCATTGAGTTCAATCAACTTTTTTGGTTTTCACTGCTGTTTTTCTGGAGTGACAAGCACATGATAGCCCCAATCCCACAAATTTTGCCATAAAAATAGTGCCCCTCTTTCCTGTGGAATATTGCCTACGCTGATCAGCAGGTTCTGCTGCATCTTGAGGGAGTGCTGACTGTGTGGGCCGGTGCTGTTTGAAGAAGGAAGGTGCAACACCCCACTGAGTTGGTGCTTTTGAACTCAATTTGACAAGCATGGTGCAAATACCATGGAGGGGAAGTTAAAAGGGGGCTCCATCTCCCCTTGCAAACCCTTTCATGTGATACTGAGATGCTGCATAACTTAATACTGGAGATAGCACACAGGGTAGTTTGTATTGTATTTCTGAGCACTCAGCCACACTTTTCAGCATTTAAATGTATACTTATTATTTCTCTGTGGTATTGTGTATTTCCCACAAAACTATGATGGGGAGTGGTAATATCTTCAGTAAATTAATTTATGTGGGCCTGTATGGGTGGGGCAATGGCCCTGTATGTCTGTGTTAATAATGAGATGTCTGTGTTAATAATTCTGTTGCAAATCATTAGCACCTAATGAATTTGGCTTCCTAAACTCTAGCTAAGGGCATGGGCAACATCTGACAGCATTTTCCTAACAAATAACCCTTCACACTCCCACTTCACTCCTACTACTCTTGCCAGCTTTATTTCCATGTTTCCAAGACCAGTCATGTCCATCTTTTGGCCTGTGCAATCACAAACTCAGTGTGGCCATGATCAAGAAAGACAGGAGGAGGGGAGATTTTTAACATACCAGGCTCTTGTCCAGTACTTACATTGTGCAGCCTCAGGTCAGAGGTGAAGAATCTTCTGAGATCACTTGAGTTGAATGGGTCTCTGTACCTCATCAAGAGAACAGATTTGGTAAAGATGTCATTACAAGGTCCAAATTCAAAGATAAATAGTCTGCAAATCAGCTACTGTGAAATAGATAAAATATTTTAAATTAAATATACATTATGAATGGAGAATGTAGTAAACACTTGGAAAAACAAGTGTTTTCCTTTGTGAAAGTAAACCTTTGGGCTGGTTTTTCACCCCTTGACAATACTCAGATAATGACTTTTTGGTTGTAGTAAAAAGGAAAATTAAAAACCAAGGATGTGAGAGAGGCTTAGAAGGAAGATTTCAAATAGAAAACCTCACTTAAATTCCACTTACAGTAACTAGGATGTCTTTCCCTCAAACTGTCTGTTCCTTGGGGTCAGTAGATGTGTTTGACAACTGAGCAGATGTGGATTTGTCTGGATTTCATGTGCGTGCTTACTGTATCCAGACCTAAATTAATTGGGAGATATTTTCTGATACATAAAAGATTTGAAAAAAAACGGTAACTTTTTGGGACCAAAATGATTTTCTAATATAAACAAAGACTTTCCAATATCAAGAAGGAAAATATCATTGTTAACATTAAATATATTTTCTGAAAATAATGAAATGTTTAATACTTTGGAAATCAAATATTTCAATTTTTCCTTTCAGGATGTTCTTTTAGGAGAAATTAAATGCTTTGGGTTTATCCCCAAACCCTTTTTAAAAATCATTATTGAACAAATAAGAACAAGTGTTTCTTCTATTTTTTCCTGCAGTGACTCACAGCCAAAAGGTCCCCATCTGGGTCACAATCCAAAAAATATTTAAAAAGTGGTTATGACAAGAATCATTTTGCAACCAGCTGATGACAATAAGGAAGGTTGCCTACCTCACTCCCTCCAAAGTCTACCCATTTTTAGATAACATTGCAAAATATTTTGTGCAAAATATATTTTACTCTTGTATGAAAGAGGAATTGGAAACAGCTGAATAAGTAAAACTGCTGCAACTGGCAAATACTTCACTGTTCATCAGTTTTTTTTCTCTGTATCTGGACAAAATTAAGCTGCCTGTTTCTCTTTTGTAATTAAAGCAAAACAAAACAGCAGCCTGGTTTTTATTTAGCAGCCTTGGTGGCATTTTTCCCTCTCTAAACTCCAGCTGCTTTAACATCAAGCGTCTATCCTTAGTGGTTGCCTGACAATGGAAAAAACAAGAATTCCCAAGGATATCCTCTCCTATGCCTGACATACTTAAGTGTGCCAGGGCCTCACCACCCTCACAAGGAACAATTTCTTCCTCATATCCAATCTAAACTGCTCTCTGTCGGTGTGAAGACATTGCCCCCTTGTCTATCGCTCCAGGTGCTTGTCAAGAGTCTCTCTCCGTCTTTCCTGTGGGTTCCCTTCAGGCATTGCAAGGCCACAGTGAGGTCACCCCACAGCCTTCTCTTTTCCAGGCTGAACAATCCCAATTCCCTAAGTTTTTCCAGGCTGAAGTTTCCCAATCCTCTTAGCCTTTCCATATACCTTTTTTTTTCAACATACTTGGAGCATTAGCAAAGGGGGACCCTTAGCAAAGGGGGTTGAAGAGGAAATC